CTCTCTCTCTCTCTCTCTCTCTCTCTCTCTCTCTCTCTCTCTCTCTGACATAGCAAGAAGATAACCACTTGTTAATCAGGAAGAGGACCTTCATCAAAATCCAGTCATGCAGGGGCTGGGGAGATACCTCAGTAGTCTAAGGCCTACCTGACAAGTGCGAGGAGCTGAGTTCAAACCCCAGTGCCACATGCTGTGCCAGTCCCAGAACCCCAGGCACACTGAGCCAGCCATGGAAACCAGGTGTGGTGGTGCACTCCTATAATCCCAGCACTAGGGAGGCTGAGATTATGAGTCTGAAGTGCTTTGTAGTGAGACCCTGTACCAAATAAATAAAAGATTAAAAATAAACCCAGCCATGACAACACCTTGATCTTGGACCCCAGCCTCCAGAAGTGTGAAGGACAAAAGCTTGTGTCTAAGCCCTGCCATCAGTGGGAGTTGGCTCGGTTTGGTATGTAGTGCTGAAGATCAAACCCAGGGCCTCCTACATGCTAGAGCAGCACTCTGCCATGAAGCAAACCCCTGAGCCAGGTCTGTGGTAAGAGGTGGGTAACAGTGATAGTCTGCTCTTTCCTAGACACTGAGTGTGAGGGAGGAAGACTTGTTGGTGCAGGGAATGAGGGGAAAACTATCCCTGTGTGGGCAGCTGTCACGTCTCGGTGATGTCACTGGGACCAGGGAAGACTCCTTCTCACACAGCCACTCCACGCCAGCCCCTCAGCCTGGGAGAGCCCAGGGCCTCCGCCCCTCTGGGCAATGAGCTCTGGTCGTTACCTGCACTTGAGCCCTTCTCCTTCCAGGGCTGGCTGCTTTCCTCCTGTGGATTTTTAGGAACTGGTTGCACTAGCTCTTTTTTGCTGTAAGAAGTGGATCATAGGCACTAATCCAACAGTAATCCAATCATTTGTTAATGGTTATATGGTATTAAAAATAAAGTGTTAATCTTCACGTTCAAAAAAAATTTTCATGTTCAAATTCGAGCTAACTTGAACAGATGAGGCAATTCGCTGTGTGTTTTTTAAAACTTAGAATTATGTCACTTCTTTTTGTTAATGTCCCTCGAAATTACAACATCCATATTCTTTTATCCAGAAATCTACTTCCAGAATTTTTTTTTTACACTACTAGATATTGAACCCAGAACCTTCACACTAAATTGCATCCCAAGCCCCACCCCACCCTTTCTAGAGGTTTGTTTTTTGGGTTTGTTTTTTTTTTTTTTTTTCTGCCTCAGGATGCTTTAAGGGCAGGTCTAGTAAGGTATGAGGATCTAGGAATCAGTCACACAGAATACTGTGCCTGACTGATTTGCTTAAGCAGGCACTTTTCGGGTGAGCTAATGGGCAGGACCCCCACTGTCCCCTTCTTTATTTATTTTTGCAGTATCAGGGATTAAACTCAGAATCTTGAACTTGCCAGGCAGGCACTTATACCACTGAGCTATCTTCCTTGTCCCCACCCCTTCTTTAAAGAGAAAGTTGAGGCAAGATTGTGCACTGCCACCCATTTGCTCAGGCTGGGCTCCAACTTACACTCCTCCAGCCTCAGCCTCCTAAAGCAGTGGATTATGGGTGATACCACCACATTCAGCTAGGGCTTTGTTTTCTGTGACTCATGACACATGAGCAAATGCATGAAATTACTCATAGTGGCCTTATTGGTAACAGTGTATGTTGTATTGCCTTCTGTTAAAAATGAAATATATATATATATATGTGTGTGTGTGTGTGTGTGTGTGTGTGTGTGTGTGTATACATTACATATATAGTATATAACAGAAAAATCTCTTGTTATGCATACACATACACAGATTATGTCCAGAAGTTGCATAAGAAACAATAACAATTTTCCTCTGCAGAGAACCAGGAGGCTGAGGAGAAGGGTAGGAAAAAGAGTTTCTACTGAACACCTTTTAAAAATACATTTAGAATTTTTTGTCATGGAAGTATGTTCCATTTGTTAAAAAAATACAACTTAAACATTTAAAACACATTTTAAAAGTATCCTTAAATATGACTAAAGTTAATCATCCTTACAAATTCTTTACTCTTAAGTATTTTTTTAAATTAAAAACAAGAATATTATAGCACATACCTGTAATCCCAGACTTCTGTGAGCCTATGGCTAGAAGAATACAAATCTGACCCCAGCCTGGCACCTTAAGTCCTGTCTCGAAATCTATTTTTTTATTTGAAACAAGGTCTCACTCTGCGTTCAGGCTGGCCTTGAACTCGCTATGTAGCCCAAGCTGACTTCGAGCTCACAGCGATCCACCTGCCTCGGCCTCCCCAGTGCTGGGCTTACATGCATGTGACCCTGCAGCAGGTTTCAAATTTTCAGTTTAAAAAAGAGTTACACACGTAGCTCAATACAAAAGCCTGGCTTCAATCCCCAATACCGTGCAAAAAAAAGGCGGGGGGGAATAATATCTCTTCAAGGGCCTTTACCTCACCTGCCCCCTACCCGTCCTGCGGAGAGAAGCCATTCACAACTGTAGTCTCTATTTCCAGAGCATTCCTCCCACATCCATTTGCCCATTTCTGCTTCTTAAACCTGATCCCAGGCATGCATGAGTACACACATACACACACACACACACACACACACACACACACACACACACTCTTCATGCACTGTACCTGGTTCAGCTTGTCCTTCTCTTCAGCCCAGGAGGAAGCTTTGCTGTGCTCTCTGTTGACTTCGGATGCCAGCCTCATGATCGTTTCTCTGTTAGCTTTTGCCTCCATCTCATGGACATTTATAGTCTCTTCAAGACTAGCAATTCGTCCTTTCATGAGTGCGTTTTCCCTGCACAGCTCTTGAAGCTGAAAGAAACCCATCCCAGCTGTCTTATAAAAATTAACAACCCCATGCACTCTCTCTAAGCAGCTCGCTGTCTAGACCCAGGGACTACACGGCCATGTGCAGCAGTGTGTGCACGAAGACCACATTTGTCAGAGGCGGCCTCTAACCTTAGCCGTCAGGCAAGGTCAGCGGCAGGTGTACCAAGTGGCCCACACCCTGGCTGCTCTGCGGAGGTGGCTGCACGCAGGCTGTGGGAGCTGTGCTCAGCCCATGGCCAGGCACTTTCTAGCACTGGGGGAGACAGATGGGGTGACTGCACCCTTAAAAGTGCCCTGACTAATAAGCACCAAAAGTCCGCTTAAGAGGCTCAAGCAGTGGCTGTCTCTGGGCCAGGCTTAGGGGTTCGACTGCTTCCTGTGCCACCTGTGGGAACTGTAAACTGGAGCATTTGTACGATTCATGAGGAAGAAAATCAAAGGCCGTGGGCTCCCCAAGAGCAGGGCACGAGCCACTAGGACAGCAAGCTCTCTCTGCGGGCCCACGATGGTGCCCATGGGAAACTGCAGAGACCCACGGGACAAGGTCAACATGTTTCGATGACCTAAGAAGGCGACACATCTCTTAGGCCTCAGCACTCAGCCCATGTGTCCCCTTCCCCGCTCAATGCTGTTCCCTCTCTGTGGACCATTCTTCACATTTGCATGCTCATACCTCAATGCCCTCCAGAAGTCCCCACCTCTGGAGACGCTGATGGGTCGTCTGCCTAAACCAACATCCCACACCTCTAATTTCAGTTTTCTATCCCTGCATCTTCATGAGTTTTTCTCCATGGTGTCTTTTATCATGTGCAACAACATTTAATGGTTATTTGTTAATCTCCTCACCACCTTTACCACAAAAGTTTTTAAAAATTCGCTATTCCAACCCCAGCATCCAGAATACTGCCTGGCACATAAGAACTCACTAATATTCATGTGATAGGCAAGTAAATATGGAAATAAATTACTAAGAATGCCCCCTTTTTCATCATGGACCCCTCAGGGTATATGTGTGAGTGTGTAAACAAGAGAGAGAGAGAGAGAGAGAGAGAGAGAGAGAGAGAGAGAGAGAGAGAGAGAGTGTATTTGATAGGCAAGCTTAAAAAGGAAAGAACAAGGGGCAGGGAAAATAGCTCAGTAGAATAAGCCCTTGCCTGGCAAGCACAAGGTCCTGAGTTCAATATCTGGTACTACAAAAAAATAAAATAAATAAAAATGAAAGAGCAGCTTTGAGATGGGGGAGATCTTGTTCCTCTTCTTACCTAAACACTGTATGCAGAGTGGTCTTGATCAAAATATCAGACTTCCTGCTCTGGAGCAAGAGCTGTTTTAAAGACAAGTACCTGCCCAGGAAGGGAGTCCTGAGTGAGTCAGAACCACAACAACGACAGGGGACACACAAAACCCTGGGCCCTTATGCTACTCACTAAAAGCATGATCTGTTCCTTCTGGGACAAAGACTCCAAAGCTGTTTTTGCTGTGAACCACAGCTCCTCACTTGAGTCTGCAGATGCCCAAGCTTGACCTTCCTTTTGTTGCAGGCAGGCAAATTAGATAGAAATATTATAGGCAGTCAGATAGACCAGGCCCTCCTCAAGAAGACAAGATGGAAAACAAGGTGATTTTGCAACTTGAAAGAGACAAACATTCCCATATGGGCCAGACCTCAAGACAAAAGAGGAGACAAATACAGCTACATACTTCCCTAGGGAGGGGCATCAATCCCTTGAAAGAGCCCAAATGAGTCACTAGTGCAACCCCCAACAGGAACAGACCCTGTCCCTTATTCATGCCCACTTGCTAAGTGACTTGCTTCCCCATTTGGCCCCGGACTTAACTGTACCTGAGCAGGGGCTGGGGAGATGGCCCAGTGGAATAGGCGCTTCCCTGGCAAGCACAAGAGCCTGAGTTCAATCCCCGGTTCCTGAGCAATGGTGCTTGTAATTGCATTGGTTGACCATAGTTTTGCCCCACCCCATATCCACCTAAGCAAGTTCCCATTTTCTCCACCTTAGCTCCAGTTCTGCATGGTTTTATACTATAAAAGCTCCTGAAAGAGCCAGCCTCCTGGGGACAACCCACTCATCACCCCCCACCCCATCCCTCTCTCAGACAGGAGCTTTCTTTCCCTCAATAAATATATTCTGCTCATAACCTCCGTTTGTTCCTAAAATTCATTCTTCGGTTTTAGAGAACAAGAACTCGCCCCAGGTATCTTCTCAGGCTGGGAGATTAGTGTTTCTCCCTGTGTCATTTGGAGGTTTCCCTGTATCACTTTCACACCTTTGTTACTGTAAATCTTGGGTTAAGTCCTTCTGGGCAGCATAGCACCATGTTGATCACTCAGGCAGAGTCTGCCAAAGAGCTGCCAGATAGGGTTGATAAGCCCTGCACTTACACTCTCCTATCTCTGATAGGTTCTGGCCCTAGTACGAATTGCTGAAGTACTATGGTGGTCATCTAACAGGGTGGAAGCCCTCAAAACCACAGCATACCTTCCCACAGACCACCTCCCCGTTCTTCCCCCACCCAGTCCTGGATACAATTTTCTTTCACTTTTCCATCTCTACAAGGGAGACCCCAATCAACTCCCTGCGTGTCACTACAGCTGCCCCTCAAACTCCGCCTGTGGCAAAAGTCCTTAAAGTTAGCCTCCCGCTGTCTCAGGCCAGAGGATCCCCCACCTCCCTCAGACTCTCTCCATGTCTTCAGAGTCAATAAAGGCTTCTTTTATTTTTCCTATCTCTTTACTGTGCCTCAAAAAAACCTAACCATCTCCCTTCAAGGTTGAGGACCCCAAGATAAGTCATCGACAGGACCATTGAGCTACACCCAGAAGTCACCAGCCATCACCTAAACCTATGATCACCTGGGTTCCGGGGAAGATTGAGCCCTATGTAACTGTGCCCACCACAGAGACAACTCTTTCCTGGAAACAAGACCATCCCTCTGCCATCAAGATCACACAACTATGACACGAGGCTGAGACCATGAACAACCAGGCCCAGCTCACCTGCTAACCCTCAAAAGCCACTCCCTGCCTTTGTAGGTAAGCCAGTGTGAACTCCTGTGTCAGACTATGTCCCTCCAGCCACATCAGCTTCAGTACTTTCCTAACTTGCAATGAAAGCATTGCGGGGAGATTTTTTGGTTGGTTTTTTTTTTTTTTTTTCTTTGTGGAACTGGGGATTGAACTCAGGCCTTTGCGCTTGCCAGGGAAGGTTGTTTGTTTTTGAGATAGGGTATTGCTATGTAGTTCAGGCTGGCCTTGAACTCACTATGTAACCCGAGTCAGCCTCCAACTCACAGAAATCTTCCTGCTTGCCTCAGTATCAGGATTACAGGGTTCACCATTGTTTTAGTTTTAATTTTCATATCTTTTAAAATAAGGACCCACACTAGCAAGAGGCAATAAGAGTCCAGAACCCCACTGTGTGTTTTGAAACATAAGTCCTATATTACCAGGTGTAGTGGAGCCAGCAGAGCAGAAGACCACTGCCACTGCAAAGAACGTTCATTCCTCGTAGTCCCCAAGAGGAAGGCAGGCCAGGCCAGTCCCCGTGGGGCCGCTGGAGCAGCCCCAGAGCCAGTCCAAGGCAGAGGAAATGGGGGAAAGTGGCCAGAGCTTCACTGCGTGTGCCATGGAAGGGCCTGGCCCAGGGGCTCAGTTGGCTGCGCAGCAGGGTGGGCGGCGGGAATGGTCTCTACTCTAGAGTGCGGAATTCCCCAGAGCTGTCAGCCCTCTGACTCTGGAGTGATAAGAAAGGAAGGCAGTAGCTAGGAGCCTAAGCTGTAGACATTGGAGGGGCTGTGGGTGGCTCAGTATACACAGGAAAGCTGTGCTCTGGAGAGTCCTTTACTGTCTCAGGGTTTGGCCAACCCTAGGGGGAGGGGAAGATGGCCCAGGAGGCCCCAGGGGCAAAGCCTCAGGAACCCAGAAAACCAAAGGGCATGGTTAACACAGTCTTCACCCCCAGATTAGCAGCCTCGCTGTCTCTGATGAAAGAAAGAATGTCCAGAGAAGAGAATTTCTGGATTTGCTTTTCTTCTCCCCACCACTTGGTTTGAAAGATAATCCCCTCAACCACAGTGTGAAGGGGAGCCTGTAGATGGGGCTCCGGGCCCCACCCTAGCCAGAAAGGGGAGGCACGCCCAGCACCCACAGGCAACAAGCAGACTCTTCTTGAGCAGCCAACCCATCTATGAAGTGGATATTTCTCACTAAAGAAAATAAAATCTTGGACCCAGTCCTAGCCCAGGTCCGGTGAGTGTGCGGAGAGTTTCCTGCTACCCTGCGCCGGCGGGACCAGTCCCAGCCCAGGCGCAGAGTGGGCCGGA